TATGCATGCTTACGCGTTTGTGTTATATAATAATCGTCATGTGCTCCGGACACACAATGCTACGCATTAGCCTAGTGATATATATAATTTGTTTATAATTATTTTTCTTTAAAGTAACCTTGTTTTTAAATTTATTTACAAACAATAATTTTCACTTCTGCAAAATAATAATTTCATACAGTATGACAAATTACTATTTTGATTACTTTTTTTGATTTATATTAAAACGTAAAGTTCAGAAATTATAGAATTTATATTTTTGCGAATTATGGCTGCAAAATTTTTTGAAAAACTTTCTAATGATTTAAACGAACTTCTTAAAAATAGTAATGAATACAATGTTATCATTGAAGTCGGTCAAGCTCCAAATACTCAATCATTTAAAGCACACTCTATCATCTTAAATTCTCGTTGTTTATATTTTAAAGATAAATTAAGTGAAATTACTTATAGTGCTTATAGTAATAATAATGTGAAAATAATAAAGCAAACTAACGTTTCGATTGAAATATTCGATATTATCATCAAGTAAGTATTAATCTAATATTTAAACCAAGTTTCAAAAAAAGTATTAATAAGATTATATATAACCTATGTAGGTATATTTATAGTGGCACTATTTCTTTAGAAAATGTTAACGCTTCAACTATCTTTGATCTTTTAATTGCTTCCAACGAATTTCATCTTGATGAGTTGATTAAGCATATTCAATTATATTTGGTTGAGAATAATGCTTCTTGGTTACGTCTTAATTTTTCTCGTGTTTATAAAATTGGTTTTGAGAATGATAATTTAAAAGATTTACAACAATTTTGCTCAAATATTATCGCCAAACATCCAAGTATTATTTTTGATTCAAATGAATTTCTTGATCTTCCAGAAAAAATTCTAGTTTTTATTTTAAAACTTGATAATCTACAAATGGATGAAGGAAAAATTTGGAATTATACTATTAAATGGGGAATTGCTCAAACACCTTCTTTACCTTCTAAACTTGATCAATGGTCCGACGAACATTACTTGGCTTTAAAAAGTTCTCTTCAAAATTGTCTCCCTTTAATTCGTTATTTTCATATCTCTGGTGAAGATATTACTAAGAAAGTTTGGCCTTACCAGAAAATCTTTGATCCAAATTTATGGGCTGATATTATGTTAAAATTTATAACTCCAAACAGTTCTATTACTTCTCTTGTTTTGCCCCCTCGTATTAATCTATCTTCGACGCTGCCTTCACGGGACAATATTTCTAATATTAAGATTGCTAATAATCATTTAATTGATAATGAAATGAATGTTAAAGATGGATTGGCTATTGATGATAATAAATTGGCTTCTAAGACTCCTGTTGATGATTATAATTGGGCTTGTCCTATTTATCCTATCGATGATAATAAAGTTCCTCCATTGTCGCAATATGATT